TCAAAGTATCATTGGCTGTCATGGCGGTACAACAGAGCATGCTGAGAATGCTGCTGATCCTTCAGCTAATCAATCAAATCAGCGTTATGCCTTCGAAATATACGATGCACGAAAAAGGCAAATTCCTCAAGTCTCAGGCTCACAATTTGTTAATGAAAATTGCAATTCAAAGCCATTCACACATAGCCATCCGAATTCTAATAGTAGTTGTGATCAAGTATCTATGCAAGAGCCTGCACCACGGCCCAAAGATCTAGCGGACAGTTGCGTATATTTATTTAACGAATCAGACCGACACCTTGTACCACAGCCCGAACAGCTAGCATATACGTATCTATATATAAAGGAGAATGGATGTTTGGTCTGGATTGGTACAATTAAAGTCGACAGTGAGGGAGATGTTTTTATGGAGCCTGAAATATATGGCGAATCACTTAGATATCTGTATATAAAGAAGAATGGACGTCTGGTCTATATTGGTAAACTTCTATTGGGCAATGGGAGTGACGCTTCTACAGAGTTTGAAGTATGCAGCGAATCAGGCCAACACATAAATAGTAATGCACACAGCCTTGTACCACAACCTGAAGAACAGATATCACTTACAGATCTTTATATACAGAAGAATGATTGTCCGGTCTGCATTGGTAAAATATTAGTGGGCAATGGAATAGACGTTTCTACAGAGTCTGAAGTATGCAGTGAATCAGGCCAACATATATATAGTAATGCACACAGCCTTGTACCACAACCTGAAGAACAGCAATCACTTACAGATCTTTATATACAAAAGAATGGATGTCCGCTCTGGATTGGTACAGTAGTAGTGGACAATGGGGGAGACATTTCTACAGAATCTGAATTATGCAGCCAATCAGGCCAACACCTTACTAGTAGGGATGCACAGAGCATTAATCTACAACCTGAAGGACAGCAAAGATACGAAATTACATATTCACTACCAGACGGATACCTGGTCTCAAGTGGTAGAGATAATTCAGACAACCAGGTACACTTAAGTATGGAATCTGAAATAAGTGGTACCTCTAATTTGGAAGAAAAACTATGGGTTAAGCTTAAGAAACCCCGTGAAAGTCTTCAACAATTCTTGTGTAAGAACTGGCAAGAAATGATAAGACATTTGCCAGTTCCTAAACCAAAGAAGGAAAACAGATATGACTGGCAGAAAAAGGAACCTGAGGATCCAGAGGAAAAAATTAAATGGAAGAACGCTATTAAGCAAAAGTATTGGCGTGTTATGCGTGCGCCAGTCAATATTTTTACCAATGTTAAGCAAGAGCCGGTCAAAATTCCAACCACTGTAAAGGAAGGCAAAGAATGGCAGCAAATATTTATAGCCAGATGTAAACAAACTTATTGACCAACATCTGTCAGACCAAGCCTCAATGATCTTTTAAGTTGATGGACCAAGAAACGACAAAACAGCAGAAGGCATTGCATCCCAGATCTGTTACAAAGCCTTCAGATGGAAACCTCATACAACACTTAGCAAACATGCTGTGAATTGATCATTGAGAACAGTATACAGTAGATGGAACACGTGTTCAAACCAATTCCAAGAGAATACATTTACTAAGTGTTTTGTTACTTTAAACTTTAATCTGTATCATTTTCATGCAGAGAAAACATGTATATCAAAATTCGCAATATGAAAAGCTTTTTTTTTATGATATTGTTTTCATTGGATTTAGGTGTTAGAACAAATCTCAAACTATTCTATTCCTTTGGATCAATTGTAGATCAGCTCTTGGACCACTGGTGTTCTTAACCATGATTGTGAACATTATTGCAGATATTAAACACTCACATTTTTAGCTGATACCATTAACATTAGTAGAGGATAAAGACAAACTAAGAAAGGATATACATGCCATTTATGTATGGACAACTGAAAATTCTATGAATATAAGATGCTGATAAATTCGAACGTTTAAGATTAGTCTAACTGGAAGCTCAAGGCCAACTTTATACTCTGTCAGCAGAATAGAAGAAAAGGCCTGTTCATAACTAATGATAAGAGCTTCAGTCACCACATTGAGCTGTCAGTCAATAAAGGAAAAGAACTGATGTAGGGATGAGGACTTTTAAAAAAGAAATCCAAAATATTTGCTGTCACTAGGGAAAACACCAGTGGTGCCAAGATTGGAATATCAAAGAAAGATACTTTATTGTATATATATGAAAGATCACTGAGCAACTGGCACCAAATCCAAGAGAAGTATGAATTAGTATAATTCCATTCGTTACAATGGTGATTCTTGGAGTGACCGGCTGTATCTGTACTTTGCTTCTAAATTGGCCTCTTTCTGCTCAAACTTCACAATTTATGTTTTATGGAACCTGCCTTTTTTATTAATTGGCCAAGACTGTTTGGCCCCAGAAATGAGTCATGAACATAATGTAGGTAACCATTGTCTGATTATAATTCGTAATGTAAGTCGATTATACAGATATTTTATTTTTCATAAATATTTTTCTTGTTAGGGTGAGCTCCTCTTAAAAACTTATGATACCCTCTTATACCAAAAGGTGTCTTATGTAGTTACAAGATTAAATACTGAACACTTATCATTACTATGTACATTGTCTGTTTTATTTTGTATTATGTTCAAACAATAAAGAGAATATGACTTTTCATGAAGCCTTATTTTGCCCTTAACCCATGTACTAATCACCCACAACAAAATCTTTTTGTAAGTTCACTTGTGTGTATTTATATGGTTTGGTTAAAATTTAACGTGATGAACTGCTAAGTCTGTGGATGAACAGGGTAGTGGGAGAGATAGTGCGTAAGTGTGTGAGAAAGAGTACATGTGTCTGAGAGACAGAGAGAGATGGTGCGTGTGTGACCGAGAGAGAAAGAGTAATGTAAGTTCCATCATCCTACACTTTTTCATGATTGCGAGAGGAAGCCTTATATACACTATGTGGAATATCAAGCGAGATATTTCACGATTACCCGATATGATGTGTGGATAACAACCAACGCATGCAGTGTCCAACTTTCTTCCCCAAAGACCTAGGCCAGTTTTTTGTATCATCAGTTCTCATGATTTTGTCCATGAAATCTGGCATTAGTAAATACCAATGCTGTGATCACATTTCACATCTTCGCCTTCCATACCCTTTGCTACACCCTCCTTCTCTTTGGCTCCTCGAACATCTACCCCCTCTTCTCTCCACAAGAGATCCTTTTTTCTCAGACCTCCCCACCTTCTGATCCTTCTATTCTTAGTCCCTCTACATTCAAAATATTTGCCGATATCTATCTTCCTCCCTCCTCAAGTTCCCAGAACACCCCCATCTTCTTCTCCATGTGCATCATTCCCATTTCGTTCCCTATTATCCAGGATAGTCACATGATTCCCTGGTAACAAAAGTGTCCTCCACATTCCTCCCCTCCTGACGCTCTTCCTGACACTTCTCCTCATTCCCCAGTCCCATTATCTCATCCTCTAGATTCTTCTGCTACTTCTCCAAGTCATCTCTACCCTTATTATCTGGTGATTACTTCATCATAACTTTTATCAGTTTCCTTAAACAATGTTCTTATAGCTTCCCCAGCAACAGTTAAACTCCATTTCATCCAATCGCACTATGCCCTTTACCCTTTCCTTTACTAATCTCTGATTTACTTTATTTGCACCAGCTCTTTACCTTTTTCCCTATCATAGTTTCCCATAACCTCTCTCTGACATTTAACACTATCCTAAGCTTGGGATAATGTCCCCAAGTGTGTAAAAAATAATAAAAAATAAAAAACCATCCAGGCTCATGACCTATTTGTGCGTGACACACAAATGCAAATCATTTTTTTTATTTTTTTATTGTTTATTGTGAATTTTTGAAGTGTGATTTTTGTACGTCATTTAGACAAGAATGACAGGCTAAAACTGCAAAAGCTAAATGCAACAAACACTAGATTTTTCATTCAGCTACAAAATGAGGCATAAAACTTTTTTAGCAGCATTTTCGTGTTTTCGTATAGTTTCATAATTGTTTTAATATAATTAGGTATAAGAATAATCTTCCTAAAACATAATCCCCAAAGATTTTGGTTTTTATGGGGTACAACCCAACAACACCCCTTTTTGAGATTTGGGGGAGGATAAGAGTTTGGGTTGTTGGGACCACGTAGCACTGACCAGTTAAGTATAGTATCTCACTAAGCGACATTTGTTATGGTAGGAACACACTTATTTGGGGTGTTTATAGGCCTACATTGACCATTTTTGGAAGTTTCTCTAAAATCCCCTCAAAATAATAGTTATTCTGATTTCATTTTCGAACAGAAAAACGTTTCAGCTAGTGCTTGTATGACTCATTTTTTCCATTATACCTACACAACTCTTAGAACACCATACAAAGGATTTTTTTATATTTGTCACTTTTACACAAAGCACAGGAAAAAAATGCAAAAACTAAAGGCAATAAGCACTAGATTTATCATTTAGCTACAAAATGAGCCATAAAACATTTATTTTGGACAAAAATTGCATGTGCTACAGCTTTTGAAGTCTACAAAGGGTCGCACTTGAGTTGGAGGGAGGGGGGGGGGGGTTCGGCGTGCGTTATTTTTTTTTTTAATTCTCTAAAATCCCCCCCCCCCCCCAAAAAAAAATGCAGTCATTCTGAATTCATATTTGAGTAGAACAGTCTTTCAACTATCGTGTGCAGAAGCCAGTTTCTCGAAATCACCTTTTATTTTTTCTCTGTGAATATTTTACGAAAGTGACATTTTCCAACACCATAAAAGGGGCTATGATTTATATGTTACTTTTACAAGAAGCACATGAAAATATGGCAAATTCTTATTGCATCATGCATTAGATCTATTATTCAGCTACGAAATGAGTTATATTGGGTTAAAATTGGACTGAAAAAGCGTAAATTTATGTACATGAGGTATATAAGGATATGCAGACCATTTCCGTGTATCTCATATTTATATATATTGTTATTTCTGTTCATTTGTTTTTTGATTGTTTGCTTGTTTAAGTTGTGTTTATCTGATAGTTCTAAAAGTCAAGAACAGATTTTAATAAGATTTTCACCAGAGGTGTGTTTTAACCAAACTTAGACATTGTGGCATTTTGGGCGTGATCTGGACTATGGTTCGGATCCAGATTTTTTTTTCCAACTCAAAAAGTTATGGACTGATTTTTAAAAACTTTTTACATGAGGTGAGTCTTAACCTAACTTATATTCCATAAAATTGTGATGGTGGTCTGGGTCATTTGGCAAACATACTCCCAATTGGAGGGGGGGGGGTGCATTTTCAATTTTTTTGCTCATAGATTAAACTAGATATGATGAAAACATAAGAAAATAAAATACCCCATATGAATGGCATATCGTTTGTTTATTTGTAAGAAGAATTTATGTTATTGTTTTTTTTTTGATGCTTGCCAGTTTTTTTTTCCGAAAAAATGAAGATTGGTCTCAACTTACCTGAAATTTAATAAGCTTTCAAAAAAATAATCTCATTTTTTTTTTAGATCTAATCATTATGTCACAACTGCCGATTTTCTAAGGTAAGGTGAAAAAATAATATTTCGGTCGCCATCGAAAAGGGCCTTGTAATTTTCAATTGAGATTCGGAGGCCCTGAAACTCCTTGGAAATGTATTTAACTTGCTTTCGACAAGAAGGGCGAAAAATGCTAAAATGCAAATAATAATAATAATAATAATAATAATAAGCGAAAAACACCACCAAGTGAAAATGGAGTTGTTCTTGCTTCTTCTACGTCTGCATGTTACCTAAGATGTTGATCTTTAAAAAAATCTGTAATTACGTAGGCTTATGGAGCTACATATAAACATAAATACATAGTACATAATATATGTCAGCTTGGTGGTCTACTTCCAGAGTAATCAACTAAATGAGGCAGGTTATGGACGTGACCAGCTGCAATCTGCAAGTTACACGAGGGATCTACAACTGGTGGTTCTCCACTATGATCAGGTTGCCGAAACGAGACAGATCCTATAGATTCACAAATAGTACAAGATGATCAGAATGCAGAAACAAGATGCTCAGATCCTCAGAAGAACTCGTATTTTCAATGCCCGCTGCAGAACATGTCTCTACAGGAACCTGGACTTGGATCTGACCAACAGCATTCAACAAACAACCAGGCTTCTCTTGCTGTTCTTCAAAGTATCATTGGCTGTCATGGCGGTAGAACAGAGCATGCTGAGAATGCTTCTGATTCTCCAGCTAATCAACCAAATTAGCGAGATATCGACATATACAATGTAGGGGAAATTAAGCAAAGTACCGAAATCTCAGGCTCACAAATTGTTCATGAAAATTGTAATTCAATGCCATTCACACTTAGCCATCCGAATTCTAGTAGTAGTTGTAATAAGGTACCAAATCAAGAGCCTGTACCACGACCCAAAAACCTAGTGGACAGTTGTGTAGATTTATTAGACGAATCACCTTACAAATAAGTAATGCACACAGCCGTGTACCACAACACGAAGAACAGACATCATATACATATCAAAATACATAGGTGACTGTTCATAATAATCAGGAAGCAGATCTTACAACTTCAAAACCGATAATCCTTCCGCAAAACTGCCATATTGGTAGAACAGAATTGGTTAAGAATGCTACCGATTCCCTATTTAAACAATGGAATCAAAATGATAATGCGGACATTGAGCGAAGTTCTAAAGACAAATCGTTAGAAAGTTCATGATTTGTAAACTAAAGGATAATGGGACAGACGTTTCTACGGTGTCTGAAATTGGTGATCTAACTAATTTGCATAAAGATTCTTTATTTGCCAATCTTTAAACATCTGTTCAGAAGACTAATGGCACTGAAGTATGCAGAGAATCAGGCCAACACCTAACATGTAGGGATGTACACAATGCACATAAACCTAACCTAGTACAACCAGAATTACAGCCATTCATTATGGATCTACATATACAGCAGAATGGATGCCTGGTCCGACTGCCAACCTAGTGTGAGACTTGTGGGACAAAGCCCACGGGACCGGACCCCCACAGGACCGGACTATGTGACCTGCGGGTGTATGTGTGGTGTGTGTGTGTGTGTGTGTGAATAGGTGGATCCCATGTGACGTCATGAGTCGTGTTGAAACTTGGCTGCAGTAAAAACAAACTTGCTGCTTGGCCCTCTTCACTTCAAAGTGATACGGAAGCGAACTGAAATATTGTGTTCGGAATCTATTTCCTGTCGCTAAGATGGCGTCATACAGGTATGAGGAACTTGAAGGAGAAGCAAAATCTAGATATGTGAATAAGTTGAATATATGTAGCCTGGAAATTTACCCAAATCAACTGCTACTCGTGAAGCAATGAAAAATCGCCACAGTCTCGATGTGCACAAAGGTAAATGTTCTTGCCAGTTGAATTCCAGGGAGAACCGTATTTGTTCTGACGCCTCCAAGCAACCCGTTTTAGTCGGCGTTCAGGATCAATATTGGGAAATCGGAAATCTGAAGAAAAAAAAAAAAAAACTGGCCAGTCTAACATCTTATTGTGATTTATAAAACCAAATTCTGCACAACTTAGGGGTATCTCAGAAGGAATAGACAAGAAATAATCAGAGAACCTGTGTAATAAAACTTGCTTAAAAGCGCACCTTCAGATGTGTTTTCACTGCAGCTGTTGTTCCCTACAAGATGGCGATGCGTGCGCAGATGGATCGATGCATAGATCCACACACATATTGTACAGTTGCGGAATTATATTTCAGTACACATGCTGGAACCCACTTTCATACATCTGGCAACAAGTACGATGTAAACATAGAGTAAATAGCATTTCTATGAATGGGGCGAAACCCCTAACTTGTTTGTAAGACTGAGCGCGATTGGTTGATTAGAAATAACCAATAAGTATAATAATATCTATTTTTCGAAACGAAGCAAGCCATTTCATATTGCATTTTCTTCATATAAGTGATTGCAAAACACGCAGTATTAGTAGTCGTTGGCTTCGTAGTGGAATATTTTTCAAATGTGACTTTTTGGAATTGTTTATCGAGATGGCAACACCTATGGAGGTAAAGCGGCATGTGTCCCTTATTTAAACAAAACAATTAACAATGATATTTGCATGATTTGTTGAACCTAGAAAATGCTTTATACTTCAAACAACTATGTATGACAGCTAAATCAAACAGAAATTTGCAAATTCGTTGAGAATTTATCAACTGCTTCTCGGAGCTACACCATCTAGTAGCAGTTGAACGAACTAATGAAATGAGATTTTTCTTTTCGCCGAAAGCAAACTGTTTCAATAAGTAGAAATCATGATGCGTTATATTCAGTGATGGGCATAGATGCACAGAACTGTCTAAGGCGATACCAATGCATCGATACGAGAAATTTGACTAAAACGATTCTGATACATCGATTCTTCGAAGACAGTTAAAGCGATACCAATACATTTATCGCCGATACAGCATCGCCGATTCGTTATTGTAAGAAAATAATGAACCTGATATGCCAATATTTCATTTGGATGTTTTTCAAAATCATGCGTGGATATTTTGATGAGTTTTGCACCACAGTAACAACTGCATTATTACAACCGACAGGTTCGTAGCACTAAATGCGTTCTGTAAGAAAATAAAAAAGCCATTCCTTTATGGCCAAAGAATGGAGGAGAGGGCCCCCTGCCTCTTTCACACTTCTTGAGCGTCACTGTCAACACCGCAAGCGAACGAGAAAGAAAAAACAATAAAAACATTTAAAAACAGATAGATAGACATAGAGGGTAAGGAGAATCAGAGAGAGTAAGAGAATGAGAGGAGAGGGCTAGTCAGAAAGCGAGAGAATGAGAGGAGAGGGCTAGTCAGAGAGCGAGAGAATGAGAGTTAGATAGCGAATAAGAGAGTGGAGGAGAATGGGAGTAAGGGGAGGGAGTGATAGGCAGTGAGAGGGATGGAGGAAGGAAGGAAATGAAAGAAAGGGGGGAGAGATAGATAGAGAGAGAAAGGGAAGGTGGGGGGGGGCAGCGATGGAGAGAGGGAGAGGAGATGGAGGGATGAAGTGAGAGAAAGAGAGGAGCAAGAGGTAGAGAGAGATAAGGAAAGAAAAGGGGGAGGCAGAGACAGAGAGAGGGGAAAGAGATAGAGAAAGAAAGAGAAGGGAGAGGGGGGGAGGCAGAGATAGATAGAGGTAGTGTGAGAGGGAGAGGAGGAAGAAAGAGAAAGAGAGAGAGGGGGAGGGGAGAAAGAAAGAGAAGGGGAGGCACAGACAGAGAGAGGGCGGGGGGGGGGGAGAGGAGAGAAATAGAGAGGGGAAAGAGAAAGATAGAGTGAATGAGGGGGGGTAGGTGTCACAAAAAGGAAAAAGAGAGAGAAAGTGAAAGGAAGAAAAAAAAAAAAGAGGGGGAAGAGATAGAAAAAGAAAGAGAGGGGTGGGATAGATAGCGAGTAAAGAAAAATGGGGAAGAGGAGAGATAGGGACAGGAAATGAGTGAAAATGATGATGGGAGAGAGAGAGAGAGTGAAAGGGAGAGAAAAAAAAGGCAGAGAGATAGAAATAAAGAGAGAAAGAGAAAAAGAGAGAGTGAGTGAGGAAAAGAAATAAAAATAGATAGAGAGATAGATGAAAAGATGAGTGAGAGAGAAAGAGAGGGGAGGAAGGAAGGGAGAGAGTAGGTAGATGGAGAGAAAAAGAGGGGAAGAGATAGAAAGAGAAAGAAAGAAGGGGGTGGCATAGACAGAGATAGGTAGTGAGAGAGTGAGGAGAGAGGTAGAGAGAAAGACAGAGTGAGGGAGGGAGGGAAGGACCCAGAGAGAGCGAGTCACAAAGAGAGAGACAGAGCGAGGAAAGAGAGAGAGACAGAGAAAGAGAGAGAGTGTGTGTGTTGGGGAGAGAAAGAGAACAACAGAGAGAGTGAAAGAAAGATAGAAATAAAGAGAGAGTCACACACATACACCCACACACACACAAGCAGGGAGAGAGAAAAAAAATAAAGAGAGAA